GTCCTGATACGTAAAACCACAGAACTCAAAGAGGGTGTACTTTCTTTTTCACACAACTGTATCACAATATTTAGCAAGATCATGGACTTGGGGAGAATACATTATTTATTTATTTAAAATACTTATATTACCACCCATCTTATTTACCATAACCTTGGGCAGCTCACAATTTGCTTCATAACATCTCTATGTTGCATAATTTATACAAGTCATACCAAATACAGTACTGCAAAATATAATCACTAGCATTTTGCATGCAACGTAAAAGAAATCTGCATTCCTTTAACTTTATACTTCAAGTTATTATTTGTACACTCAGGCATATAGGACTGCACTGATTTGGGCCACAGCATGAAACTTTCAAACCTCCAAACAGAATAATCTGGTATAAGAAGTTTATCTATCTGTGACTCTAGAGAAGCAATAAGAGGGCAAAAGGGAAAGCAAAAAAGAAGGAAAGCCCTAGTAGCTCTGGAATATTCATTTTACCTCAGCAGATGCAGAAACCCTTGAAGGCTCTCACGAATGTCAGTTAAGGGATTGTAATGCCTTTGTGATCACGTCTGGTGACATGAAGCCCCTAGACAGAATCCTTTGGAGAACTGTGGCCCAGAAGCAAGATATTTTGCCTAAGGCCTCATAGGCAAGTTCACGCCAGAGACATGATGTGAATTGGGACTTCTCAGTTTGTACCTCAATCTGTTAGGTATTATGCTATATCAGGAACTTCTACAAGCACATTGTAGTAATATATTATCTGTAGTCCTCTGTAAAATAATCTTGAATTATGCATATTGCTTGCAATGTGTATCTAATATATTTGAGTGGTACCTGCATGTGGTACACATCCTCTGCAGTTTCTCCAACAGAACTGTCTGTTAATATAACCAGATTTCCTGTTTCACTTGACGTATGGGAAGAAAGGGAAGATGACGAGTGTCGGACTGTACCCAGCATATTCAATGGGCTACAAAGATATATAAAGCTGTTATTAGCAAATATTTTCTTAAGCTTGCTTAATGAAGAAAATTTCATTTTGAAACATGCAAAACTTCAAATTATCTTTACATAACATGTACAAACAAACTTTTTTTTAATTGCTGCATGTGAAACATTAGCAGATTAAAAAAAGACATCTAAATTTTGCCCAGCTGGAAATAATTCACTTAGCAATATAAATAAACTCATCATACTACTCCCTTTTGGAATAAACAGCAGAAGGTGCAGAAAAAAAGTAGTGAGGAGTAATGAATAAGAGAAATCAAAGGTCTAAAATAAGAAAAAAGGAAAGGAAATGTACGATCAAGTTTATATCAATGCATTCATAATATCATATAATTCAATGCCATTCTACTCAGATGCTATCCTTTCTTTTTTAAACTTCTGACTTCTCTCTTCCAAGATCTCATCAATTCCACCTAACCATCTTTCTCAATCTTGTCCTTCCTCTCAAAACATTCATTCACCCTTTATATATTACTTTTACAATTCTGTCTTCATTCATTTTGTCTATATGATAAAATAATCTGAGTATTTCTTTCATACTGGTCACTTCTGTAATTAATCCAAATTCATTCGACAGCACCCATTAATTTATTACTCTGTTCTGATTTTATTGCACACACTTAAGTAACCCACTCTCACTTCAATGTATGTTTCTCCTGACATACCCAAACTTTCACTTCTGAGAGAATCATGGTCTTATACACAGTCATTTTCGTTTATTTTTACAAACATTCATTCATTCCTTGTAACTAAGCACTATTTTTCTACTTACATTTGCACATTTTAAAATTTCTCCATCCATTTTCCCATATTTAATAAATATTCTAAGGTACACCAAATCATTTTCTTCTTTATATTTTCATCATTAATGTGTAACTTGCAATCATTCAGTCCACATAATTATCTTGGTCTTCAGTAACATCAGTTTTCAGATCCACACTCCTTGTTACATAATGATGATCATATGCCATCAACTCAGTGCCAACTTTTAGTGACTTGTAGATAGACTTTCTCCAGGATGATCTGTCCTCAATATGATCCTTCAGGTTTTCATGTGTTGCACCCATTGCTGCTGTAATTAAGTCCATTCACTTTACTGCTGGCCATCCTCTTCTTAAATTTCCTTCAACCTTTCCCAGCATTACAGACTTCTCAAGAGACCCAGGTCTTTGAATAATGTGTCCAAAATATTATAATTTGAGCCTGGTCATTTGTGCCTCAGATAAAAATTCTGTCCTATATTTATTTGTTTTCTTGGCTATCCATTGTATTCTCAGGAATCTTCTCCAAAACCAAAATTCAAAAGCATCAATACTCTTTCTATCCTTCTTCAAAGTCCAACTTTCACTTCCATACAGTGTTAAAGGGAAAACCATTGTCTGCATGATTCTGATCTTTGTAGGTACAGACATGTCATGGCATCTGAATATCCTTCATTACTACCCTACTAAGTGCTAGTCTGCAGTGTTATTTCTTATTTCTGGTTCATTTATTGTTGACAGTCAATCCTAAAAAGTAGAAGCTGCCCACCAGATCATACGCATTTTCAGCTATCAGGATAGTGTCATCAGCATAGTGCAAGCTATTGATTTTTTTCCTCCAGTTTTAAAACCATGCTCCTCTTCTTCCATCCCAGTTTCTCTTAATATATATTCAGCACATGTTATTGTAATACTGCTTCTTGTCTATTCTAACAGCTCTCTGAAACTCCTTAAGTTCCTGAGATTTTTGTCTTTCCTGGCTTTGGCTTCTTTTGTCTTCTTGGCAATTTCCATGGTTTGTTATGATATCCAGCCAGCTTTCTTCCCTTCATTTTTTATAGCCTCTTTTCACATTCATCCTTAACAACCACTTTAAGTTCATTCCGTAATTCCTCTGGTTCTCTGTCAATGAGATTCAGGACTTCAAAGTGATTCCTGATGTTCTCCTTGAAAATGGTGGGTATGTGTTCAAGATCATATTATTATCTTTAGCTTAATTTGGAACTTGCACATATACAGTTCATGATGTGTCCATATCTTTGGTGCCTTATGTTCCTCTACCTCCTTTTAGCAATAATATAGTCAATGGGATGACCTTCATGCCTTGGGTGACCCTGTTGGGAATATATACTCTTGGCATACACTCCCAACATTCTTCGCTCATCCTCCTAGGAACACCCCCACCACCATGATGAAGTATCACAGCAGGACTTGGGTGGGTGGGTTATCAGACAAGGAAGTCTGATTTTTCATGTGACAAATGTAAATGTAAATTCATCTAATATAGGAACTATCCCTGTGTCTATTTTATGTTTATTTGTGCTTACATTAATTTAATTACATAAAATATTTATATACTGCTTTGGGAAAGGTGGAAGGAAAGAGGAGAAGAAAATGGCCAGCAGCAAGGCGGATAGACTCCATTACAGTAGTGATGAGGGTACTGAGTGCACTGTTAGAAGAGCTGAAGGACCAGGTTAGGGACAGATCATCATGGAGAAAATCTATCTGTGTGGTTACTAGGAGTCAAAAACTACTTGGTGGCACATAATCAACATTTCTAATATTAATTCAAAGTGGCTTGTATGAACTAAGAAAAATAAAACTATGATCACAAAGTCTCACAATTGTGAAGGAAGTATATGTGGTAAATAAATAAATAAATAAATAAATAAATACACACAAAAAACTAATTTATACAAGACAATATAAATATTCTACAATTTCAGGTACAACAGTTTTCCACAATTCTAGCAATTCATAATTTTATTTATTTATTTGATTTATATCCTGCTTTTATTTTGCACAACTCAAAGCAACATACATAATACTACATCCTATTTTACCCACAACAATTACCCTGTGAAATTGGTTGGGCTGAGAAAGAATTACCAGCCCAAAGTCATCCAGCTGGCTCCTGTAAGTTATATCACCCATGGCAATTCCGTTGCTTAAGATTCCCAGTTAAAAAAAGGTAGCGCTCACCATTTTACATTTCTTCACTCCCTGTAATTATTCACTTGAATTTTTGTGAAAAGTTATGTTTTTCTGTGTGTAGTTTTGTATTCATATTAAAATGTATCTGATATCAAATGATCCCCTTCCAACTACTCATTAATTTACTTTTCAACTTTGTACAGTCTGGCTCTAGTTTTTTTTAACGATTTGGACAAAAGATCAAAGAGAATCCCGCTCTGCTTTTAGAGCTGCTACTCCATGCCATGTTGGGGGGGAGGGGGGCAAACTTTATTCATTGTATTATACACCACTTTGAAGACTTTTGGAATATTAAGTGCAAATACTTTTCTAATCAAGCAAATATTAAATCATCATCATCATCACCATCCTACTAACTGATTAAAGTCCATAATTATTTAAAAATATATATATTCTTCATACTCATTGGTCAGGTTTGTTCTACATTCTGAAGAGATTAAATTCTTTTCTGATTAGCTAAGTCATAAACTATAGCAAATTATGATCACTGAAGGCAGGAATAATCTAACGTTCATATAGTCTTACCTATACCTTGTTTTAATCTTGTATTAAGAAATCTGGGAGTAATGTAGTTGTTTTTATGTTTTAATATTTAATAGTGAGGGCACGTGTACCCTAAACATACTTTTATTGGCAAGACAGGGTATAAATTATCTAATTACCAAATAGAATGCTCACTTCTTTCATAGGTCCACCTGAGCTAAATAAAATGTTGGCTCCCCCCCCAACTTTTTGCAACAAAGGAGAGGCAAATATTAATAACTGTGAAAAATTATTGTTTTAATTAAATCTGGTGGCTAACCATTATGATCTTATCATTCTGCTATTATTTTTATTTATTTATTAGATTTATCTCCGCCCATCTCCTCCTGATGGGGGACTCTGTTAATGGCAGGTTGCTACATAAATACAGTGGTACCTCGGTTCACGAACTTAATTCGTTCCGCGACTCTGGTCGCGACCCCGATTTGGTGGCGCCCCGAATCAAATTTTCCCATAAGGTTCAATGTAAGTACGGTTAATCCGTTCTGACCCCTCCGAATTTGGTCGTGACCCGATTCTGGTTGTGTCCCGAATCAAATTTTCCCATAAGGTTCAATGTAAGTACGGTTAATCCGTTCTGACCCCTCCGAATTTGGTCGTGACCCGATTCTGGTTGTGTCCCGAATCAAATTTTCCCATAAGGTTCAATATAATTACGGTTAATCCGTTCTGAACCATATGTATTTTTTTAAACAGCAAAAATATTATACAACAAAATACACTACGAAGAAGGAGAACGATATTGCTGCTCGCGGCGACTTCCGGGGAGG